GGCTAAGAGGGGGAACGTTGACCTCAGGCTGTTCCGTGGCAGGCCCCCTCAGAAGCAGGGACAGGTCTGGATGACTTACAGGCCTCTTCCAAACCTCTGATTTTAAAAGAAGCATATAAATATCCCACGGGGCCTTGTTACCTTTTAAATTGATAACTTGCTTCTGCTCAAGAAGAGCTTTGTGGGCCTAATACATTAATTATATCGGCAGAGAGCCTTCCATCTACAGATCCCAAGGTGCTTTGCCAACGGTAGCCACAGCACCATTTCACTTGGGCAGACGGCAACACTGAGGCACAGCGCTGTTCAGAGAAATTCCCAAGGTCACAAAGCGCATTGTCTAAAAGTAGGCACAGCCACGTGGTTCAAACCGTGAGCCAACTGATTTGGGGGGTTTGGTTTTCTGACACTGCTCTCTTTCCTCCTCAGCCTCTGCTCTGTTTCACAGAGGTTTTAAAATTCTCAAATGGCTTTCAAAATGATTAGTTTTAATTTGGAAAATAAATATAGGACAGAGGGTTTTTGAAGTGGGGCATTTGTTTGTTTTCAAGGGATGTGGCCAAATCAAACGCAAAGCAACCTCTTTCAACTCTACATCCTCAGGATTCTAGGACAGGGCCCAAACTCTGAAATGCTGAGCCTGGCACTCTAAGCCATGCTGTCTAAGCATGTCTGGCCTTCGATCTCCACTACAACAGAGGCTCCCCTGGACAGAGCACACCTCTCGACCTCTAGACCAAACATCTAGGAAGCCAATTTCCCCCTGGATGCAGGATGATGAGCAAGGCGTGGATTCACCACCAGTCTGGGAATCAAAGCCCGGTGGCCAGCTGCCTTCTACAGGGTTCCCTGTGTCCTTGGGACAAATTACTTGTCTTTGAAATCTTCAATTTCACAGTCTTTGAAACACCAATGGAAGTGTATAAGCTGGGGCCTGAGGGTTCACCGAGCCCCTTGGAGGTCATCAGTGCATTAATTTGATGAGCTCAGTGCATTTCTGCCACTCACTATGGGGTAATTCTAAACACTCTTGGACCCAAACCTTTCCTCATCCCAGTCCTTACCCTCCCATCCTCAATGTGGTCATCAGGATATATTTAGCACCCACTAGATTTTCTTTTAACCAAAGTTATTCTTTTTTTTTATTATTAATTAAGTAAAGAATTTTTAAAAATATTTATTTTTTCAAATACATTTGTCTCTGCCTTTGCCCCACCACTTTACCTTGCACCCTCCCTCAACTCTTCCCCTTTGTCTTTTAACCAAAGTTATTCTAAATACATCAGACTAGCCCAGCAGCACTGTGACTAAGAGGAAGGTAACCAGAGCTCTATCAGCCAGGGAGAAATTCATATTCACCAAATAAGGGAGGACTGAAGAAAAGGGCTTTTGCTTAGACATATAAGGGCAATGGCCTCTGTCCCCCCGGCCTGACACCGGTTGTGGTCTCATCCCCCCCAGTGCAGGCTCACAGAACCAGCGTCTCTGAGATGAGCAGGAACTTGGCCAAGGCCTCTTGCCTCCCAGCACCTCCCACTTTCTCCAGGCCTCTCCTGGATTTGTGTGTACATAATTGTGCCTATAATTATAGACACATCCGTGAACCTTCTACTGCTGTATTTACAACATTCTGTCTGTGTTTGGGGTGTTATTAATACAGCTGGGGAAACCAAAAGCAGTCGTTTTCTGCTTGTGGTTTCTGAGGAAATCTCTGTGAAGCGATTTGTGTAATCTAAGGGAACACATGGGCTGGATATGGGCTCCACCAGACAGACGCGCTCTCTGCCTGGTGGTTATGCCATAAATACGCACAAGGAGGGCCCGCCCTATAGGAAAATCACAGGTTCCGTGTATATGGCATGTGGAATTGGACTAGGACTGGGGAATGTGTTGTGCATATGGCCTGCATAATTGTGCGAAGGTTTGCCCAGAGAATGCCTGCAATGCCCAGAGCCACAGTGTAAGACCTTTTTCATAGGTACCCTCCCCACTACCTGTTGGATGGAAAGAGACTAAGAAGATGCTGCTCCAGGCTGGGGAAAGCTGGAAAAGAGTTCCTGAGTTTTCCTTGCTTCTTGGCCACGAGAAGAAAGTCGTTCCCCCATAGGCCCAGCCCTTGCCTTAGCCCAGCCTGGGTCCAAATTGTAAATAGTGTTTTGCAAGGAAAGAGCACAGCCATTCCCCATCACCCCGAGCGCTCATTAATCTTATTTTTCTCCTCTTTCCCAAATTCCCTGGCCTTTGGTACATTGCACTGGTGTTGACAGTGACCAGGGAATAAAGTCAGGTTCCCACATTTCTGCTCCAAACAGCACCATCCCCTCTTCACACCCCCTGCACTGGTTTGCATCTGTGAACCCTCCCCCATGCACGGAGCAGAGCCGGCTGCTGCCTCCTTTTCTGCTGCCTCCTTCTCAGCTACACTTTGCTCACAGGTCCTGCTGCCTGAATTTTGCTTTCAAGCCCGCTACTTAACACCAGTTAGCTTGGCACGGTGCCCACCATCCAGCGGCTACAAAGAAAGGCTCAGCGGTAGCACCAGGCATAGACGGAGCCTCTCCCTCCACTGCCCCCAAGTCTCCTCCTCACCCCGCCTCCCCTTCATGGCATCAAATCAAACTGCAGCAGACTTGACAAATCTATTTGGCATGGTTCACTCAACTATTTCAACCCGAACAGCCCAGAGAGCCACGCTGAGGCTCAGGAACAGTATGGAATCTGCACATTAAATACAGACCTCTGGCGGGGGGGGGGGGGGGAGGGTGTGGGCGTTGATCTGCTAATGAAAGGGCAGCAGACATCACCCTTGGAGCAGAGGACCCAGCAGGTCTCCCCTGTCACCTGCCTGACACTTGCGGTGGGGCGAGGGAGTGTGGGGGAGGGGGCAATGCCTAATTGGCAGGCTTTGCATTCTCTTGCCTCCTTTTAGGTACTGAGAGGATGAATTTCTAATGGGGAGAGACAGGGCTATTCCTCTGCCCTAGCGCCTTTATGTGGGCAGGACTGAGTCACTAAACAACCAGACAACAACAACAAAACAAAAGCAAAATTACCCCTTGGCTCCTGGGGAAAAAAATTGAGCCAGTAGCCAATGGGTGGGAAGAGGAGGCAAAAGAGAAAGAGAAAGAAAGAGAATGATGTATCCAATAGGAAAAAGTTGGGAAGAATGATTCTAAAGGAGCCCAGAAAGCAAAATTCAATTGTCAGGAATATATTCCCTGCAGAATGAATACCAGGGATAAAGCCAGGAAGGACAGTGTTCTATCAAAATATGCAGCGCTAAGGTATTTTCAAAAGCAGATTTCCCACGAATGGCGTTTTAAATAGCATCCCGGCCCATCTGTGTGCTTTTAGAATCGGCTTATGTTATGGCATCCCTCTGGCCAGCGCTGCTTAGTCACCGAGCTCGGACAGGGAGGCCGACAGGCGGGCCTCTGCCTCCTCCCCCAAGACCCAGCCCTGCGCAGCTGCTGGCCCTCGCCTACCTGGCTGAGCTTCTGGGTTCTACCAGTTTGTCATTACAGGGGGTGGGTGGAGGAAGAAGGCATGAAAATGAGTGGAGAGGGATGAAGACTCGGTCCACAGAGTGCCCAGCCCCCAGTGCCCACCCAGGCTTGCCACAGCCAAGTGCTATTTGACGGCTCGTTCTGAAACAAACGAAGTCAATGAGAAACTCGATCTGGCTCCACACGCCAGGGTAAAGAAATCTCTCACTCACTTTATCTGTGAAATGGGGAATTTCTGTGTATGTGTGCATCAATACCTAGTAATATCTAGAAGCCACGATTTTCAGATGAATGGTGCCATGTTACTATGGCAATTTTAATTAAAAAAAATCCAGTCCTTTAAAAACTCACATTTCCCGAGTGAAACAGTGCTGCCAACATTACAGCTTGGGATTTTCTGGGTCCAAGATTTCCAGTTGCACTGGGAAGAGCAAGCTGCCTTGGGTCAGTGATAGCAGCAGAGCGGACTGTTTGGAAAAGATCTTTGGCCCCTGTAGGTCTGGCTGCATGTGTCCCATTCCGATCATTCACAGTCCAACAGAGCCAGGGCCTGGAGGAACCACAGCACTAAAGAGGGGAGACTCTTTCCCTCTGCCCCCAGCTCCCTTCAGAGAAGGATGAGCACTCTCCTCCCAGACCTGAGAGCCAGCCAGTGACGAATAGAGCTAGCCGCCCCCCCCCCCCCGCCCAGGTGAGACCACTGACCATTTTCAAAACGCCCCCCAGACACCCAGTGCACAACTACATCGCCAGCGCCAGCTGCCTGCCTGTTCGCTGCCAGAATGCCATGCGTCTTAAGAAACCTGAGTGCCAGACATTAATCCATACGCACAACAAAAGCCCCACATCATGGCACTCGGACACACCTCCGGGAGCCACAGACACCGAAGGCACCAGGCGAGAGAATTCAATGCTTTGCTGCCAAGCATGATCGCTGGTTCAGATGTCGTCCCTGACAAACTAAATTTCTCCTCATTATGTATTATCCTCTTTCTTCTTTGGGATATTGTGATTCCCTCTCAGGATCTGTGCCCCTTTCATTTCCAGACCTCAGTAACTCCTGAACTGCCATTTCATGTGGTTTTTTGATTGTTAACCCAGCATGTGGAAGGGACGCAGGCCATAAATGCTCAATGAATCCTGTGTGGGGAGACACGGGCTGGAGCACGTTTTCTCCTTCATTTGTAGTCAGAGAGCATGCTGCATGTTCTCTCTCTCTCTTTCTCTCTCTCTCTCTCTCTCTCTTTCTCCCCCTCTCCTCTTTCTGCCCTGCAAGATGCAACAGCAGCCAGGCTGTTGGAGAAACGGTATTTTCCAATCACTTTAGCATAAAAAAAGAATATTGTCTGGGCTAGTGCTTCCCATGCGTCCATCAATTATTTGAGCCCCATTGAATCAGGCCTCCTTCCCCGTGAGGGGGTCAACTTGAAACTCTTCTTGCCCCATCCCTCCCGCACTGTCCCAGCATCCTTTGAGGTGGGGCAGTGGGTTTACCTTGTGGTTTTTGCCATGCCGGTATACCATCCAGTCTTCACCATTAGTGCTGACTTCCAGCTTGTAGGATTTGACATAATAGCCATTCTGAGTTTCCCTGGAAATCGCTCCCTGTGTTGCAATGGCCGTGAGCATGGTTAGAAAGTGTAAGTCCACCTGAGAAAGAGAGGTAGAGAAGTAAGGGGTGCGTGGCTCACAACACAAGGCAGCATCTTGCTTTTTCTTCAAAGGACACAGGTGTAATACTTAGTTCACAACCTATGGCTATGATCATTCACATGTATGGGTGATTAAGGACCAATGTGCAATTCTGCTGGATAGTTAAACCCAACTCATCTGACATTAAATTGGACACCTTTGAAATTGTAATGATTATTTTTTTCCTTCTTTTTGCAAATCCCAATGGACAGTATTAAGTTAATCTTAAGGGAATCATTGAACACCTAGAAGTAGGACCCCTTCCTACTAAACAACAGCCTGCCTTGGATAGTGAAAGCAGATTCTGTTTTAAAGGAACAATGGCTAAATCCAATCCAATCCACACCACTCTGATCCGGTCCAATTCAAAGCAATTCACTTATAAAGCTCTAGTAGCAAAAGTCTCAGCTCAGGGCTGTTTCCCCTCTCTTCAGTACCTCACTCCATTGTGTATTTAGTCACTCAGGTCAGGAAGGGGTCAAAGGGCATGCAGAGTCTGCCCAAGCAATTAGGCTTATGCAGCAAGTCTTGACCTTTCTTTTGATGAGGATGGTCAACATTTTGAGGTACCACCTCTCCCACAACACCAAACCCATTTGGAAATTGCTTGATGTCATTCCTTTGCTGGCCACAGTGTTTGTTATTGGTAACCTCTGTGTGATCAAAATTTAGCCAGTATACACTGGTAAAACTTAATTCAGCAAGCATTTATTGGCTACTTATTATGAGCTCTGCACTATTAAGCATTCAAAAGAAGTACCCCGTGCTGTATATGTGCATAATTAACAGATAGACAACAGTAAGAGAAAGTATGTGATTAAGGACCAAAACTAAGGGTGTAATCAATGGGATGCCCATCATAAGGGAGAACTTTCTGGAAGCTTTGCAGGACAAGAAGGATTTTTGGAGAGGCAGAGGAAAGGCAGGGACAAATGGCCTCAGGGTTGTGCTGTGAGAGGCTCCGTGGAAGTTTCTAAGTGGCCTTCCTCCCTTTCCCATTGTGTCCTCTGCAATGTCCTTCTCAGAGCAGAGATCACCGTGTCGCGTCAGAGCTCAGACAGGCTTGTCGCTGGGTCACAAGGCTGTCTACTGTGCATCGTAAGTCATTGCTCTAGCACGGAACCAGCAGCTTGCTCTTCTCTGGGGATGGGAATTGGACCAGTCTGTCATGCAAGGAAGGGTTACTTAACATGACTGCAAGTCTTATTCAGAAGGAAAGCAAACAATAGTCTGAAAAGATGCTGCAGAGCATCTGGGCGACGAGAGTTTCATTGCTGGTAGTGACATTTTCCCATGTGTTCTTCTGATAGCTATGTGCAAATCCTTCCTGGCAAGGCTCCTCCCCAGTAGCAAAGACCATGAGAAGCTGCCATGCTCAGCTAGCAACTCAACAAGCCTGCCCTTAGGAAAGTGCCTGCCGTCCCCCTTCCCTCCTCAAATTTCTGATGCCTTCCTGTGCCAAGAATGAGGAAGATCTGGAACTGTTCACAGACTATTCCTTGGATGTCTAGAATGAAAGGGCAAAGAGCCCCCTGGCCAAACAACTTATCCAAGACTGGAAATCTTCACAAGAGCAGGGGCGGTGTCCATCTTGCCCATTGTTTTATCCCAGCACATAGCACAGTGTCTGGCACAGCCTACTTGTGCCTGGCACATGTATCTGTTTAGATGGATGAATGAACAGAGGTCTCAAGTATGCTGTGTTTATTTTCTTTGGGTCCTTTGTCCAGTCAAGATGAGGAGCCACCCCCCTTGCCCACCAACACACACACACGCACGCACACACACACACACACTCTGCATACCCTCTGATATCTGAGCAAGTACCTGAAGATATTCTTTGTTGGAATCCAAGTTGGGTGTCCAGCCATTGTCGTCGCCATGGAGCCGGCTTTGTTGAGGTCTCCACCTCCCATCCGAGTAGGTAGAGGAGGCACTGATCTGTTCATTAGCAATCCTGCCAGACTCCATTCCCAGAGGGACATTGCACTGAAAGTCTGGGGCACAGAGATGGCCAAGGACAGAGTTAGGTATCTCAGCCTCATACCCCTGGGGTTCTCACAACGCTTTTCCCTTCTAGGGACAAGTCTTTGCAGGCACTCTCTCATCTTAAAGACCTAATTATATGCTCACATTTTAAAAACAACTACAAGACACAGAGCTTGACAACCCCTCTGGGTCTGCAAGAAGCTAAATTGGACCTAAAAGAAATCAGGCTGTGGATAAATAAGAATCATCATACAAATTAAAAATGCAATCTAAAGCACAAGAACTGTTAGTGCTGCAGGCTACAGATGCTCACAGATGCCAGATGCACCATTATTGAAATACAGGTACATGTGTGATAGACTTGTGGCAATTTGGGTGGGCTGATACATCGTGGGAAGCCTGCTTTATTAATAAACACCCAGAAGGCACTTCTGCTTCTTTCTTTCTTTCACTCCAGTGTCTAATGAGTTCAAGCACAGAAGACAGACATTACAAAGCAATAAATACCTGTCTTTGGGAGACCTCTCTCTAAACACATGCATGTCACTCTACGTTCCCCTGAACCACCTGTCTGGGCAAATGGACCCAGAAGTCACTTACTCTGACCTTGTGCCATCAGTTTAATGCTGTCCTTCCCATGGATACTGTGGACACTGGTCAAAATTGGTATATACATGTGTCTGATAATCTTTTCAGGTACCAAACCTATTCTTTAGCTTTGTGACTACCCTGGCCATTTGGAGGACTTGGTGCAATTTGCAATACTATTTTCTTGTCACTCAGTATGCATGAGCTCTTGGGGGGGGGCACAAACAAACAAACAAACAATAAATAAAACCCAGAATAAAACTCATCCCCTTGGCCACATCTATAGGTAAGCAGGTGGTATGCCGTCTACAACCGGGGCAGGATTTCCCCAGCTCTAATCACCCTTAAAGTGTTCCTTTAGTCCTTAAAGTTATCATTTGGGTTTCTTCCATTGAAGCACATGTCCAAGAGGAGGTGATATGAAGATGTAGCTCTAGGCAAGAGACCAGATGGCAAATTCCATGACCCCTGGGGTCAACTACACCGCCAATGCTTTGCAGAGTGCCTGGCACATCATAGAAACTTAAAAAGCTGTGCTTATTGGAAGTATAAAGTTAAAGCCCAACCAGTGGACCAGCCCAGAGTTTCTCTACCCAGGGCCAGAGATATTTCACATCAAAATACATATAAAAAGAGATTTAAAATTGCTGTTTTGTGACAATGGCCACTAAGTCTTAGAGAGGAAGAAAAATGGCCCCAGACTCAAAAATGTTAGCACAGGGGCGGGAGAGACTTTATATAGATATCCTAACTAACCTCCCTTTTATTCAGAGATGAGAAAACTGAGGCTTGAGATGGTCCTGTAACTTTCCCTGGAAATAACTAATACTTAGCACACATATTTTTTTTTTCCTTTAAAGAAAGGAACACCCAAATTGACATTCTATTTTCATTAATCTTTGCCTAACAAGAGGCTATAGCTCCCATTCTCTGAACTCAGATGACATTGTAAATTCTGAAGAATTCCCATCAGGCCCCTTGTCTTGGAGAGGTCAGCACATCCTTACAGCTCTGGTGGAAGGACAGACAGAGGTTCCCAACTGGCCAACTCACTCTCTAGCGGTTCTTGGTGGACCAGGTAGTATCGTGCAGAGAAGCCATCCTTGGCGACCGCCATGTCTGTGTGAAAGGTCAGAGAGAGGATCCCAGTCGATGAACGGAGTTCAGAGGGTGTTTTGGTCCCACAGTATTTGCCAATCAGGGGACCAACTGGATATGCAAGACAAAGAGAAGTCAACAGATAAGGAAATGTCAAACTCCATTTTCAATATGTTCTCCTTTCCCACAATGGCAAGTCATTCAATAGAGCGTCACTTTGTATGCCTGGCATAAAAGAACAACTAAAGACATGTTTTAAGAACAATGTCTCATATTTTTCTTGCACATTAAAAAAGTACTTTTGCTGACCTGGCTTCGTTCTGTTCTCATAGCCCTGGGAGATGGGCTACAAAGGTATTATTATAATGCCTGCTCTACAGGAGAATAAATTGAGGTTTGGAGAGGTCACATGACTTCTCATTGTTCATAAAGCAAGGAAATAACAGAGCTGGGACTCAAACCCAAGTTTTATGACTAAATCTTCATTCAGGAAATGAAATTGCTTAGCTGTTGTGTCTCCATTACAGGGCAAAATACTTAGAATGGCTACAAAGCCAAAGGTTGGTTTGCTTGCAAGTACTGACTATATACAAGACTTATGCTGGTCTCCTAACAAGTACAGGTTTCTGGTACCTCTTGGCCTTGGGTGACATACCTTTTTGATAACTATGACTATACTACTAATAATGAAATTATAGTAATGATGATGATGATGATGGCAGCTTATTTAGACAGATAAGACAGGTTAGTATCTTACCCAAGGTTGCAGAGGGGCTGGTAAGCAGAGCCAGGATTTAAACCTCATAGGTCTGACTCTAGAGTCCTATTTGGGCATAGAGGGTGGCCACTGAGTCATTTTCTATGGAAATCCTGACAACTTGGAGCAGAAAAGAACATTACCTACAGTTTTTCTCATCTTTATCCAAGTATCTACTCAGCTTCCTCCTATCCTTCTCCAAACAAATATCTCCAAGAAAGGAAATTGCCCCACTGCAATTTTGCTGGAATTATCCTTGTTGAAGGGTAAGAAAAGAAAGTCATCATGGGTCATAGGCAAACCCTAAGGAGCTTTGAAGTCTTGGTTCTGTTTTTATTTTTACTAAAGCAATTAACAGGCACAACAGGAGAGGCTACTGAAAAGCGCCTTGTGACAGTGACATCACTCACCGTGCGGAATGCCGTCCCAGATGTCCAGCCAATCGTATTTGCAGTCTCCCTCTCCCACCTGCAAGGGGTCATGCTCCAGGTCAAAGGTCAGAAATTGCAGGACGATCTCCATCTTGGGTTTGGCCAGGATGGTAAAGGTGCAGTCCAGGTTGTGCGGGTACTTCTCGGGGAACCCAGGGGATTCGATGGTCCCATTGGGGCTTGTGAAGTTTTTTGAACAATCTTCAGAGCCTAGATGTGAAAGAGAATCCCAACATTAAGAAAGGAGAAGATAACGCTTTTCTTAGCTGCCTCTGTTGCATGGGTTATTTAAATGTTTGGGCCCAAATCCCCCTACTCATGAGGTCTTTGTTTCCACTGGAATGGCCCTTGAAGCAACATACTCTTCTTAGTCTCCCTGAAGCCAGACCCTCTTTAAGAGACAAATTAAGGAGGCAAGATGGCTTGCTCTACATATTAGAGTAAGAACAGCAATTGAAGAATTGGGGGAGATGGGGTAGAAAGAAGTGTGTGTGTATGTATGTATGTGTGTGTGTGTGTGTGTGTGTGTGTGTGTGTGTGAGAGAGAGAGAGAGAGAGAGAGAGAGAGAGAGAGAGAGAGAGAGGTTGATTCTCTTGAAAAGGGGAACAGAGTCTTCTTTCTCCATTACTCAGCTGCTTGCTCCAGAAATGTAAGTTATTTCAATCCTTAAGGAAGGCTTGCTGATTGCCAGCAGGGCAAACAATGTTACCCCTTATTTATTGCTGACCTCAACACAGCCCCTATTGTACCAGAGCCAACTAAGTGCCCCCTTCTCCCTCCAAGATCCAAGGTGCCTCAGGGGAGGGGCAAAGGGGAGCTCGGGTCTCATTCATGTCATGACTATATTAAAACGAGCTGCTCTGTAGTGGCCAGACAATTAACAATCGACGTTTTTAGCCGGTGGATCACAGCAGGGCGTTGGGGATGTTAAAGGCCGCTCCAGCCACAAGTTTGGAAAAATGCGGCAGTGTATTGACGTTTGGAAGGCTTCTGGTTCCTTTCTGGTAGGGATGGCCTTGTTTCTCTCCTAAGCACTTGTGTCTGCTTTCTTGGGACATAGGAGGCGTCCTTATTAAATGCAGCACACATTCTGCATCCTGGTGCTGGCTGGGAGGGCAGCAGGCGCAGGAAAAGGATTACAGCAGCGTGTCTCCTGATGCCTCTAGGTGGAGTCACCGTATAAGAGCCCTCATGTACTTGAACCGGGCCACCATTTGCCAGGAGGGGCCCAGGGACCATCCCAGGACACTGCTGCCCAGACGATGGCCGGACAATTAGAACAGATTTCACGACGTTCTGATTTTAAAATTAAGAAAGGTAGTGGGATTCATGAGAGGATAAATTGGCACTCTAAGCATGAAGGAAAAACACAGGAATACTCAATAAACCAGGTGTTTACTGGCAGGAAGTGTCCTCTGGGGATCCCACTGAAATATAACTGTGTGATGTCAATATGCCGATCTTAGCCCGCAGTGATGTCTTTATCCGCGGCTCCTGCAGAGGCCCCTCTGTGAGTCTCTTTATTGATGATGGCTTTCTGGAAAGCAGCAAATGTCTGACTTGGAAAAGGTGCCATGCAAATGAGTGGGGGAGGGGATTGCAATTTTTTTTTTTTTTTAGCAGTAGACAGGAAATTCGAATATCCCTACCAATCCATGCATCACATCTGTGCTTTGGCAAGGGGGGGGTCCAGACACCTGGGGCTAGAGCTCACCTTTCCAGGACTTGTTGGAGGTTCTCTGTGTGCCACACCTTAGCAGGTCTGTATTCCATCATTCAGGGCAGGGCAGCCCAATGGGCAGCCAACCCCCACCCCGCGGCCCCCCCTCCCCCCGCCTCCTCTTCCAGTTTGTAAACCATAGGGTCCCCAGCTTTGTTTGCCATCGAGCCCTCAGCTCCCGAGGGCCTCCTCTGGGTCCGGAAATGAGGCAGTTCGGCAAAGCCAAGCCAGCTGGCAGCTCTTGGGGGGCCGAAAGGCGCTTTGAAAGGTTAGCGTTTATGACCGCTGTGCAGCCTTCTTCATGTGGGCTACTTAGCCAGAGGAAATTAACTCTCTATTCACAACTTGCTTCCAGAGCTAGAAAAGGCATCCTGACATTCTGTCCTAGAGTCTGCTCTATTGTCCTCCCCTTGCAAGGCAAGGGGAATCCCCAACCCCCCTGGGAGTGGGGAATTTATGGTGGAGTCTTTCTTTGGTCCCTCCCATCAGTGGGGGACAGGGGCTCTACAACGGATTCCCAGTAAGCCTGAGAGACGCCTGGAGAATGTGAGGTTCTAAAGTACCCACGGTGTCCAGGATTCTGAGGCCCTGCATTTGACTGGACAGAATTTTTTAATCTGACATCCTTATCTGACATTCTTAAGGAAAAAAAAAACCTGTGTATCTATCTCTAACATACAGCTATACATGGGTATATCTCCTGGCTTATTTTGAATGAGGTAGACAAAGAGATTTATCCTTTTTATGCAAAAAAAAAAAAAAAAAAAAAATCAAACATCCATTATAATTGTGAATTATTTTATATTCACACCATCTCCCTGTTTAAACTGTGGTCCAGGTGTCAGAAAGCAGGCAGCTGACTATCAAATGTGGAGAAGAGGTGGCAGAAAAGGGTGACCATCCTTGAGACAAAAGTTGAGTATTGCAGATATCTACCTAATCCAAGAACCTTCCCATAAAGTGTTAAAAGGATTAAAGGTTTAAAAATAAAACAGCTCAGTTAACAAATACTCAAGTTCACTCCGCACTGAGATTGCCCATAGAAGTTGGAGGATTTCAGCTGTAGTGAACGATTTCATACCAAAGGACTCTGGTATGAAAAATGCCCACTCCATGTTTTTTCACTGTACATTTTACACTAACCCTGCAAGCGAAAGAAGAATCTATACGTATAAAACTATTTAAAACACGCGGGATTTATCCGAAGCTGAGCGCGGCCTGATCACGGATGCAAATTCAGTTCTTCAATTCTGGCAGTGGGGGTGGGGGCCCTCCAGGTTTTCTCTACCTGGGAATGACCCCAGAAATTTCAGTTCCCAAAATGGCACTGAGCACCAGGAAAGAAAACGTGCTCTTGAACTTTAGTCCAAGGAGCATCAGAAAACTAACAAATCAAAAAACCCATATTTTCCAGTGATTCAGTGTCCAACATTACATTTTAAGTTACTTTAAAATTCCTTTCTCTGTTCTGCTCATGATTTGGTGATTTGAGAGCCTTTGTTTGTGAGTTGTTTTGGTTTACCCTTTTATATGGGGGTAGTCTGGTCACATATAGGCTCTTCTATAAACCACTTCATTCAGGGCAGACATGAACTTCCCACTCCAGCAACATGTCCCTTGTCTGTACCTGAGTCGTGGGTTTATATCAGTAATTTTGCAGCAGAGTCTTTCCAAAGCAATGTGCTGTCGAAGGCTTCCAGAGCCCTCTGGGTGGTTATTTGCGTATTTGTATTTACGGTTCCCCTCTTCTTTCTCTATGAATCTGACCAGGAAACATAGCTGTGTTTGTTTGGATTCTGTTGGACTGTTCATGCGTTTCTTTCACGTTCTGCAGATGATGTAAATGGTGGGGGCAGGACATGGCACCTGAAGAATGTTGAATTTTGCATCCATGCACACGTATGCTCTTTGGAATGGCAGCTTAGGGTGGCCCTGAGAAAACCACGGGGCTCTCCCCGCCTTTCTCATATTGCCTAGAAGTGGCTGCTGTTGGCGGGAGTTGCCTCCCACTGCCGTAACCTCCTTCTTCCTTGTGTAGACAATGCCAGTCCTTAAAGCAGGCTGCCCCATTTCCCCACAGCCAGGCTACCTCTTTTGGCTGGCACTGTCGTTTCTAGGAAGTCCACAGACGTGCTGCCTCATTCGAAATCCTACTTCAGCCTGTCCTCAAAACAGCAATGCTGAGTTATAATACCCTCTTGTGTCCATCATTTGCATGATGGATAGAATTAACTCTCACTTTTTCTGTGGCTTTCTGGAGAGCGTGGCAGCATCCTTATGAAATACTAAGTCAGGAGGCAGGCAACAGAGGTGAGCTTGAATGGTCCTGCTCATCTTGCTCTGACTTCCCTGGCTGCTCCCTGGAAGGCCTTGCTTGGAGCTGTTTTCCTTTCACGGTCAGTGCCGTGGAGCTGAGTGACAGCTTTGGGCCCTGGGGACTTTGCTATCTACTAGACTTCCCCGAGTCTCCACTTCCATGCCACCTGATGAACCCCTCGTTTTCATAACCACAGCGTGTCAGTCACATCTTTACTTAGCGCTTATTCAGTGTGCCTCATACCATAGTTTCTCTTGAAATTTACATATCTATTTACATATAAGCATCCAACAAGATCTCCTGTGCATCTGTTTCTAGCTGAGGGTTTACATACCTGTCTGCCTTGCTAGAAGAGGGCAAACATTCTTTTATTCCTTTTCTCTTCTCTCTCCCCACTGTTCCCCAGCAGAAAATGGTACAAAGAGCGTTTCATCAGCGATCTGACTCTCACACAGGACTCAAGAGAAGGTTGATCAAGCTGTTCAGGAGCCTCCCACCAGCCTCAAGCCACTGGACACAGATTGTCAGTCCCTGTGACCCCACGGAGTCAGAAGCATGATCACTCACAGCAGATGGACCTTCTTGGGAGAATCTGGCTCCCACTTTGGCTTGACACAGTTCCCTCAGCCCTACCCTTTCACTGGACTCTACGTTCTTGTTCTCAGGCAGACAAATCCGACAAATATTTAGACAGAGTGGATATAAAAAGTGCTTTCAGCAACTACCACTTCCTTTCAAGAACTGTTTAGTGAAAAAGAAAATATATATGAATAGCTCCCCTCACACTGAACTCAACAGGCGCCGGACTTGGGCCTCTTGATGACAAGGCCTCCCCTTTCACCAGGCTGCAACCACAAGTAGCCAAACTTAGGCTGGAGAGGGGAATGTACTTGTTAGATGGGGCGGGAGCCTCTTGGGTGGAGGAGCGGGCCCAGGGAGAGGGGAAGAGTTGGAGAATAAAACTTCACATGCCCTCAAGAAAATGAGCTCACATATCGGAGGGAAGGGCGCACGGCTTGGAGTGCTTAAGTGTAGGTGCTGAGCCAGCGTCTTGTGAATGAAAGTTGGCTCTATCCAGTTATGGAAATAAGCACTGGCCCATATTCTCAGGGCCTAAGATAATCGAAGGGGGAGCTAAGGGAAAGCAAGCAGTCAACTTGACGTGCAGTGTTCTCTGCCTCTTTTTCTCCTACCTTTTGAATTGCTTTTCAGGGGGTCAGCTTCACTGGCATTTAGCAAGTGGGCCACTGGCATTCAATGGGTAGAAGTGATAAAATGGATCAGCAAGGGGGAATTTCTAGGAGCCATATCAAGTGACTGCGTGACCCCACTGGGAGGGGGCAGGTCATGGTGAGATCTTTAGAGACTCTAAACACTAAAAAGATTGTGTCCTCCTGCTCCATGTAATTCCAAATAAAGGCCACATTAAGCCATGAAGTAATTAGGAGAAGTTCAACCAAGTTTTGCTTTTTCCCATGAAGATTATCGTGATTTTTAAAAACACACAAAAATCAGACTCTTTTCAAAAGTGGTTTTCTATTTGATTGGTGCCCCTACCCATTCAGTGCTACAAACAATGTTTGTCAGCCCATCAGGCAGCACCCACCACTAACCCTGCAACTTGTCCTCTCAAGTTGGATGATAACTTAAACTGGCTTTTCATCTTGGGCTGTCTCCAGGTTCGCCTTGAACCTCCTTTCCCTCCATCAACTTGCCTATGAGCACATAACCATTACACAGCCCCTGTACACTGTGCCTCATGGCCAGGCTCAGGTGCCGGTGTCCCATCTTCTCTTAAGTGTCCCTCTCCTGGCTTTCCACCCCCAACCACACTGACCTGTCTTGAAGATCTCATAGCGCAGGGAGAAGCCTGCTCCCTGCCGGGCGTAGTCAGAGGTGAACTTGATGTACAGAACGGAGCCCGAGGAGATGATGGTGGGTGGAGCGATGTTCCCGCAGTGCTTTCCCAGGAGGTCTGCTGATTCACTGTCTCCATCTCGAATCTCAATGAAGTCATACCTAGGTGAGGATGGCACCAAAGGGCATGTATGAGGAAAGCTCACTTTAAGAACATGGAAAGGACCCTTTGTCTTACTCCAGCTCATGGGCTCTCCCGTCATTTCTAGACACACAGTTGTTTCAGACTGTCAAACCAAGGCCCCTTATGTTTGCTTGCAGACTGTCAAACACGGATACATGAAGTTGCATTGCTTTATTAAAGCCACAGAAAGAATGAGCACCTGAGCAGATGGCTAGATTTTAAGGCCTTATCTCTTGCCTCCGTAAGACCAGTAGCGTCATTCTATCAAATACCTCAAAAGCAAAGCAAAAACCAAACAACAAACCCAAAAACCATTACTTTGTTCCTTCCAGAGCACCATTTCCATTTCCATTATGATTGCTCTGATTGTTGGTCTTTTCTTTTTAGATCTGTATCACCGCAAGTTGCTTTTACCCATCTTATAGATGAGGATAAATATGTCCACTTCAGAGGGTTGGGATAGAGATGGAGTGAAAAAAAAAAAAAAAGACAGGTAAGGTGCTAGGCACCATGCCAGGCACACGGAGGGTGTTTCAGAGATATTCTTATCTTCCTGGTCCCTCCCCCATGTCCCAGCTTCCTCCTGGGTCATTCCCTCTTCTCTCATTTTTAATTGTTAATGACAAAGACTCCCCACACACCTGCCTCCTCCCTCCCGGAGAAGACCATGCAAAGCTCACATCGGCAATGTCTAGTCAACAACATATTTTTAAAAGGAATCAGCATCGTATTAGATAAGGCAATAAAAACCTTTCTTCCAACACAGGGGGGGAATCCCCAGGGACAGCATTTCTGAGCACATAACTCCTAGCCTCAGCAGGAGGCGGAGCAGCCGCCCTCCCTACATCACCGAGGCCTGAGCTCATTTCAAAGAGAGTCAAACTGGCCTGGGGTGCAGAAAGACACCTCAAAGACATCCTTGTCTAGGCTCATGGGATGGCGCCATTTTTATCTGTACAGTCACACATGTTCAGCTTTGCCATGTGCTCTGCCAACGTGCCCTGTGCCCTGTTTGGACTCCTTCTCTGGGCTCCCGACTGCTCAGGCAGGAAACTTCCTCACTAGCTCTCTTCCAATTGCTCGTTGCTGTACCATTATTTACTGAAAACTATCCATCTCCCTCTCTATCTCTGTTTGTTTATTTTGGATCGACCTGTTAAAACAACATGGATGAAACCTCTTCCCTTTGGTTAAAAAGAGGCTCTGGAAAGGCTACCTGCCTGCCACACACACAGAGCCTGGGGGGGCAGGATGCCTGCGGAAGTGGCTTGTTTGGGCCGGGGTGGCCAGAGGCTCACTCCAGCCCCTGGGGGCCATATTTCAGATTGCTCAGCTGCTACCAGATCCACAGACCTGTGAAGGAAGCATAAGGTGTGGACCAGGGGTAGTTCATTCTTGGATCCCAGAGAGCTGGAATCCTACGGTCAAAAAGAATCACAGGAGTTGGAAGTCTGAAGACAATGTCAGGAGCTCCCCCAAGAGCTCTGGAGAGGTGGACACAGGCTGAGAAACACCGTGGGGAGAGGGTGGAGGGGGGAGAAATCTGTGTGGGTCTGTGATTTCAGTATGGGAGATGGTGCTGACTTTGAAAAACATGCTTCCTCACTTCCAAAATGAAAGTGAAAAGACGCTTATTTCATTCTCAAAGGAAATCCCCCAAACCTCCTGGAAAACCCCTTCTCACTGTTCCTATGCTACGGCAGTATTGCTGCCCAGTCCCTCCTGCTGAGTAACAGTGATGCCCCCGCAGCAGGCACCGTTAGCAGGGAGCCACGTGGATGCCTTAAGCAGATGTTACCTGGTTCACCTGACTTAGCAAATGCATGGCTCTGTAAGCAAGAGCTGCCCGCGCCTTCCCTGTCCATCCCGGACAAGCGACACGACTGACCTCAGCTCAGGCTTATTAACTGGGTGCCCTCAGGCAAATTGCTTCACCCTTTGGAACCTCAAAAATGGGGAAAAGTAAATAGGGATATGTGAACCTTCCTCCTAGGATTGTTGTGAGATTTAAAATGACCAGCATTATCTATACAAAGTGTCAGTTCACAGCGTGGCAGTTAGTGTGCATTAACAAATGGTAACTGTGACCTGTTGCCCTCGCACCCCTTCCAGGGAGGGGCTGAGGCTGAGCCTGGAGCAGAGGCAGCTTTCCCTGAGAGAGGAGGGAGTCCGGAGAGGTGCCGTAGAAGCAGGAATGCACATCTGTTCAAACATTTTGGAGGGCATCTTGGCAAAAATGTGAAAAAAGTTAATCTGTACATACCATTTACTCAAGCAATCCCACTGCTAGGATTTTTTCCTAGGAAAATAATCAGACAACTGCGTAACATATAAGAAGCATAGAAAAAGTGAAAAGGTGCTTTGTTTATAAACAGCATCATGTCCGAACGCCCAACGACAGACAACAGGTGAATTAGTTTTGGTATATGGATAAAATGGAATACCCCGCTGCTATAACAAATAGTGCTGTAGGCATATATTCTTTGTTTCTTTGGAAAAAAGAGTTCATGATATATTGTTAAGTTGAAAAAAGTAGATATTTTTAAAAGTATGCTTTAAAAATGTGTGTGTGTGTGTGTGTATTTCCTTGCATACACATACCAAAAAAACGTCTAAAAGAGCGCATACTAAAATATTAATAGTGGGGAGATACACGCATGGTGGGATAATTGGTAGTTTTTACTTCCTTCTTTGCTATCTGTATTGTTTACAATAAGCCTACATTTCTCTAATAAGCCGCAAATATATAAAATAAAACCGCTTTCATTAAGAGTGTTTTTCCAAGTCTAAGAGCTGGGAAAAATAACCCAGCTTTCATGACTTAGCAGATGAAAATACGAATATCACCATCACCATCATCATCCATGTCACAGACTGGCAGCGAGGACTCAGTAAGACACCCGGGGGCACCTCGGGTCGTGCCAGCAACAGGCCCTACACTCGGTAAATACCTAGAAAGAGTTTTACGAAGGCCACCAGATAGCTCCAGTCTTTGTGGTGCCATTGTCTCCAGGAAGGACAAAGAGGGGCCCTGTCATCCCACTGGCTCCTCCGTCAGGAGTGGGAGGTGTGATCCGGGTGCCTGGTCGCCCGCGGAGCCCAAGGGGCAAAGCAGAAACAACCATGGGCAGGGCCGCCCACAAATGCCACCGCTATAGGCTGCCCTCAGTTTCCTCACTCGACATGCGGCCCCACACCCTTCTGTGCGGTGTTGGCAGCTACAAATACACCCTTGCACATCTACATACACACACAGGAAAGAGAAGCACTTTTGGAAAAAGTTTTCAAATAAATCGTCATTGTACATTTTCTCTCTAAGCTTGTTATTTAAAGGACCCCTCTGGTGAATCCCTTTGTAAAGCAAATAATCAGCTTTTACTTGCACTCTTTAGCAAAGCTGGTCTTGCCTATCCGGTTTGCTTTCAGGGGAAAACTACCTAGAGTTTTAGTTTGGTGGTAAAATCCCCACTCCCTCCAGGGCCCAGGCTCTGCCCTGTGGACAAGCCACGAGGGCTCAGCTGGGCTTTTTGCAGACAAGGCGCACTCCAGATGACATGCTGTCTTCACACAGAATGTCTCATTTACCTCCTGTGTGACTGACTCATTTGGGGAAATTTTCTAATAGGGATTTGCCACAGCTGGAGCAAATCTCAGAAATTTCAGTGTCATCGGGTCCATTTGGGAAAGCTCGCAGAGGCTTAGGAAGTTTGTGGCCTTGGAATAAAAATGGCCCTCTGTCTAAGATCCAGTGTTTGCTTGGGAGAAGGACCTGGGACACAAACTCAGGGCTTGCCCCTGACCCCCAGCAGTCCTGCAGAAGAACCCGAGAAGCCGCTCCTTTTAGAACACCGTCATTCATTTTCTGGAAGGACACACAGACCAGCTAATAGACATATGAATTACTGTGTTCGCATTTCATTATTCACAGTCCTCCTCAAGTGAAAAAATTCCTTTCAAAGCTTTAGTGCTGTATTTATTTATTTACTTTCCTAGGCTGAAGGAGTCAGCCTGCTGGATTCCTTGTTCTTTTTTTTGTCTCTAAAATTGTTCCCCAGGTGCCATTTGACTTTTCTCCTCACAGATTCTGACACCCACAGGTTGAGCATTTGTCCAGAGAACGCTTGTACTTTCTTTCTGGACTTCAAAGTCTTAGTTTCCCTCCCGAAATCCGTATTTGGGGCATGGGACTCTTGACAGTGGAATTAATTTTAAGAGTCCACAGGAAAGATATGAAAAAGCAACAGTCTCATCTCTTCCTCTCATCCCTAGGCAAACATGAAAAAAGGCTTTCTCGTCTCCATGAGTCTAGCCATGCTTGACACTTCCCAGCAGGAAAGGCTGGCCAGCCGGGCCTGCGCAGGGAGGCTCCCACGCAGAGGCCCTTCTCGCAGGGCAGGATACTGTCGCCCCTTCCAGAGTCCACCTTCATGAGGGGCTTTCCGTAGCACAGGTGAGCACTTGGGGGCTCTGGGGAAAAAAGCTGTGCCCATCCTATGGGATTTAGGCCTACACATCAGAACACCTGTACCCACCCAGGTCCTGAAGCCTAACATTTTACAACCAGGTAACGTCTCCTTTCATGTGATTTGTATCATAAAACGTTTAAGACATCACATTTGGTTCCGTGACATGCTTTTTCCAGCCTCTGGGACTTTGCACTTGCTCTTCCCCCTGCTTACAATACTGTTAGCTTTTTGTATTGGCTGATACCTTCTCATTCTTCTGAGTGCAAATGTCACCTCCGCAGAGAAATCTGCCCTGACCACCCTATTTCCGACGGCATGCCCTTGTTCTCTACCCCACCACCCTCTTATTGCCTTTATCCTGTTATCATAATCTGTATGGGTCTTGTCACTATACTCATTTCTTTGTTCAGAGTCTGTGTCCTGCCCTCGATAGTTAGTGCCAGGAGGGCGAGGGCCTTGCCTTTCACAGCTGAATCTGTAATACTTGTTTGGCACATTGCACATAGGAGGAC